TTTGTTTGGTGTTGTTTAACTCAATTCTTTGTTCAGAGTGAGAAGAACCTGGACTTCCCCTCCAGGAGAGGTGAGCTATCCAGAACACAGTCACTTTCAGTTGGCAAACCACTTTTTAGAAACAAGCCATCCAATAACAATGCCAGATTTTCTCTAATGAGTTTATTTAAAATAGTATCTCCACATAAATTACTGTTCTGTTTTATCACAATTTATTTTGTATGTCAGTGTGTGAAATTCTGATATGCTATACATTTAATAATTAATCTATTCCTTGTATCTATCTTTCTCAGTGGACTGTCTTATATGAAATGATTCATTTAGTTAGCTTTTTAGTAAGGCAGCTAGCTCAGAAAAGGGATTGAGATAGAGTTAAGCAATCAACCATTCTGATAAGAATTAAAATAAGGATAGTGAACTAGGAATTTGAACCAAGAATGAACTTCCTCAGGCAATATAGGATGCAACTCTTCCGTATTAAATGAACGTGCAATTACTCCCTGCTGAACTCCTGAGTTTTGAAGAACTCAAAAACCAAAATAACCAGTTTTTCTTTAAACTCTCAGCTTCCTTTAAGCCCCACTACATTTGCAAGCACTGTGTTAGAAAATATGAGTTCCAATTGTTCATTTTAAATTCACAGAGACACCTGTGATAGATGACAACTCAATGATTCCTGTGCTCTGTTAATCTTTAACTAGCTCTGGGTTGGCTGCACATTTGGGACCTCTCCTGCAAATCTTGAAGGTCTTCCTTTCATTATTATTTCCAAAACAACTCTACTAATATTTTTTTTTGAATTTTCAACTTCTTTTCTGAATGTTTATCAAACCACAAGCTTAATGCAGTAACATAATGAGGGGAAGACTTTCTTATCTTACTCACTGCATTACATCTAATGCTTAGAACATTGTGTGATATATGGCACACATTCAATAACCTTTTTGCTGAAAGAATAAAGATATGAAAATAGAAAAACATTGGTTTCTAATATGTTAATTTCAAAACTGAACATCTGTTACTGTTCCTAAAGTATTTTCCCCAATTTTTTGGAGTATTTTTGTTTTTGTTTTTAGCTATGTCATGTGCAAATAACTTTTCTTTTAAAATACTTGTATCTAATATTGTGAAATCTTTCCTAGTTGCTACTGCATATCTGGAATTTTCTGTCCCTTGTGAACCATAGGTGCAATACTCTGAGTTTGAATGGCTAAACTCCTGGATTTACTTCATTAGGCAGTCCAGACCGAGCAGGGTGCACTGAGTTGTTCTTTTTAAAGCAAAGGTTGGGGCTGGAGAGATGGCTCAGTGGTCTAAAGCACCTACTTAGAACAAGCTTAGCAAAGCATCGGGGACCGCGGTTCAATCCCCCAGCACCACATGCCAGCCAGCCCCGCCCCCTGGTGGGCTGAGCTGGCCACACACACACACCACTCTCTCTCTCTCTCTCTCTCTCTCTCTCTCTCTCTCTCTCTCTCTCATGTGTATAAAAAAAAAATAAAGCAAAGGTTATTCAAAAGAATTTATCCTTTTACAACCTTGCTGATAGGTGGCATCTGATCAATTCCTGAGATGTTCTCAATCCATCTTATTTTTCTGGTGCAAAGTACTTGCCATTTTGTTGTCTCAGTATTGGTGATTGAACACAGAATCTTCATACTGAGTTACATACCTATAATATTTTGTTGCTGCTGTTGCTCTTCTTATTTTTCTTTGGGTTTCTCTGGTTCATTTTTTTTTTTATTTTTTGTTTTGCAGACAGGTCCACACTGAGCTGCTAAATTGAATGTGGAGCAAATCAGAAAATGCTGCCTCCTTGTAAGAACCCAAGTAGGTTTTTGATAGGACAGCCTAGATCTGACTTAGCACCAGGAGCATAAGATTAAAAAAATGGCTGTAGTTTTCCTCATGGCAGTGTGCTCACTCATGCACAGTGCTTCACCCTCACCCGACAGAGTATAATTTTTGCCTTACTTTTAGTTGAGCTGAACTTGCTAGGCAACGCATGTTTCTATACATTTTGTACATAGAGGAAATATAAAAATTTAGCTTCTAATTTTTTGCTTGTCTTGACCAATTTTTTGTTCAGCACATGAAGAATCTAAAAACCACCTCGGGAAGCAGAGTCTATTACCCCAAAATCTGGTAACACAGGGACTACAAACATAGAATTCCATGCCACATATCTGGATATTCAATGGAATTACATTGTTTTCAGCAGTCATACATTTCTTGGCCTCAATTTTCCTAATAGCACAACCAGCTGTGAACCCTACCTTTGAACATATATTTTTGAGGGACAGTTAAGAACTAGTTTGGATGCTCTAACTTCCCCATTGTGTTACAGCATTGAAGTGAGAAACTACATAAGTGGGATGTAAACTCTTCACTGGTTACGTTTTCCTACTGTCACATAGGCAACTCAAATTCAACATGTCCCAAATAGGACTGGTCACTCTTCATCTCTATCTCATATAGCTACTTATTTATTTAGTGCTATTATTTATTTATATTCAAAAGAGAATCTGAAAGCGCAAATAGTGCTTTATTTAGTTTTCTCATCCTTCAAATAAAATGCCAAGTGGTATTTGTTTGTCGTATACCACCTCATTTTGTCTCTTAACTTTTTCTACTTCATATCTAATTCAATATTCTAGCACGCACTAGCACAATATTAAACACCTTTTTAGAAATCCTACTAGTTTCAGCTAAGGAGGAAAATTAGCCTTCTATACTGTTTTCCTAGATGTGTGATCCTGAACTGTAGATGCTCTTTTACTTTGGTTTGACAGTATTTGTATTGCTTATCCTCATTTCCTCATTTTTTTAAATCGTTGTTTCAAAACTTACTTGTTACCCTGATGACATATTTAATTAACTCAGTCACAGGAGCTGAGAAATAAAGACCCAAGATTAGGTAGTTATCAGATTGGCAAAGGGGACAGGATTTGTTGACATACCACTGGCAAAGTTGTGGTAAAGAAGATGAGTATATATTATTATAAGAGGTTAAATTGCCAGGAATTCTGTAGAAGGTGATTTATCAGCTATTTTTTATAAAATTTATTCATCAATCTAGAAATTTCATTTCTGAACATTTATCCTGCAGATACACTTTCACATATATGTAGAAATATATTCACCTAAACAATCACTACAGAATATACACATAGAAAGTAAGTACCAACAACAATAGTCATTAGAAACATAAGGCATAAATATACTACATCCATATAGTAGGATATTATGCAGTTAAAATGATTTAGCTAGGGCTGTCTAAGAACTAATGCCAGGATTTTTTTATTATAAGGGCATGGATATGTAAGTTTAATGTTATCATTTGTATGCAAGCTATATATAAACATACATATATCCTTAGCTATGTATGAACTCTAAATGACTATACTCACAAAATATACTGGTGGTGATATAAGGCAAAATACAAAAGTTGGTGGTGAATGAAATTTACTTTTTACTGTACATCTTTAATAACATATGATTTATTTTTATTATGCACATGTGTTAACTAGTTTAAATTGATATAAACAAAAGACCAAGAGGTAAGACTTCATATAGTTCAAAATGCCAAATGTAACTGCAAATGTAAAATGGTACACATCTATGCCTTCTCATATTAAAATTAACAAAAACATATACAAACACACTTATATTAAGTAGTTACATGTACATTAGTGTGAATACAAGAAAAAACTACATAGTTTTTAAAAAGACATCCAACCATACTAGATTATACCAAGATATTTTTGAAAGAAATATTCAAGACAATGCTTAATTCTCTGACCTACAAACATGTTTCCCTTTCAAAACCAAATGTACAAGGTAATGTGTGCATAGCTGATATTTCAGCTCCATTTTTTCTCCTGGAAAATCATGACTTCTATAAATACATTTCTAGTCCAATTACAAAAATAAAGAATATATTTAACCATTCAAAAGCTTTATAGTCTTGCCCTTAATTACTAAGATGCAGGGCACATTTTTGTGCAACACTTCCTATAATCATAATTAATTCACATGAAACAATCATCTACCTATTGAATCCAAAAAACAACTGCCACACTTAACTCCAAGCACAAGTGCTATTTTTTCACTATGAATAGTTACCTGGATAGTGTCACCTGAACCTTAAAGAAAGGTTTACTCCCCCAAATACCTTTTTGTTTTCCCTGCTTTCTATATGCCAGTTTGGATTATATCTAAAAATCTGTACCATATATGGTACCCAGGAAAAAGCAGGCCCTAATAACGAAGGATGAGAGATTGGGGATAATAATTCTGAATTTCTACCCAATCATCAAAATTGATAATTGAGATTACTAATAATATTTTAAAATTGTTTAACTAGAGAATATAATTGCAAAGCTTTTTATGTACTCTCAAAATATTGAGTTCCCAACATTTAAAAACATGTACAGCAAATGTTGGTGACCTAGAACTTGAACTGCATGAGGGCTAGATGTTTTTACCACACGCTTTTCAAAAATCCCATACATCTAAAGTGTATAAAATATTTGAACATACAAGGGAAATACTGGTAAAACTGAAGTAATAAATTGTATTGAGAAGAAAAATGAAATTAGGCTAAAGAAAGAGCATATATGAATTGGTCAAAAGAATATTCATTTTAAGATCTAACTGACATTATTTGAAGAAGCCAAAACCTAATGCTTTGGGGCAAGGTTAAAAAAGTCTTTAGTTTTTCTTGTTGTTTTGCTTTTCTTAGTACTAGGGGATTTGACCTAGGACTTTCACATTGAACTACACCCTCAACTCTAATTTTAAAACATGGCCTTGTTAAGTTGCTAAATTGTCCAGGACTTGAAGTTAGGATCCATGTGCATGGGGCTCCTAGAGTCCTTGGATTATGGACCTGCATCACCAAGTGGAATTTAAAGTGAAATTTTTATTGCCAAAGAACCGCCTGTGTTATCTCTTCCTCTCTGTCTCTCTCTGTCTCTGTCTCTCTGTCTCTGTCTCTCTCTGTCTCTGTCTCTCTCTCTCTGTCTCTCCTTATCTCTATGACTAAACGAAGTACAGGTAGGTTAAGGCAATTCCACCTGGAAGACAAAATTCATACAAAGCTACAAGCAAAAATGAAAAATGAACAAAATTAACTGAAATGAAAGACAAATTTGTTCACTTTGAGAATAAGGCTGCAATCCTTAGCTCCAAAGGCCTGCATAGTTCCCATGTAGGCCAGAAGGGAGAGGACCTCCTCCAACAAACAGCTTCATCTCAGGCCAGTTGTAGCAGTGGGTGTAGAGTGCATTGGGGAAGTCCTCCACACCACCAAAGTAGTTCACCCAGAGGTCATCATGGTTCAGCCAGCCTCTCCCACAGGTGAGTTTCAGTTTCTTCCCTGTAGGCCTAGGAAAGGAGTCCAAGCTGTGTACAGACTTCTCCTCCAAGAATTTCTGTGCACGGATGTCATAAAAGAGTAAGGAGCTGTGACCCGTGCCCACTGTCACGATGTACTGGTAGAAGCTCAGTGAGCGCACACCTGTGCCACCCTCTCGGGAGCATAGTGGTCGAATGTTCTGCTGGCGCTGGCGTGGATCAAGAAAAGATACATGTGATTGGGAGCCGACTGCATACAGAGATAACTCATCACAGTAGGTCAGGCACACGTTCTCTCGGCAGTAGGGCAGCCTGATAGACAGCAATCTGAATAGGTTGTTCCGTGCTTTCCACAGGTGAAAGTAACCATCCAAGGATACTGCTCCCAGCTCCTGGTTCTTTCCACTGAATGCCAGGGCTCTTACTTTCCGATTACCAGGGTTGCTGCTGGCTCTGGGAATCACCTCAATGTCCCTTGGACAGATATGCGCATATGCTGGAAGCCTCCTTTCATTGTGCCAGGCAGAACTGCCACTGAACATGTCAGGATCCACTTGCCACAATGCCATGGTGCCATCACGAGAGCCACTCACTGCCACAGTGTCATTCATCCATGCGATGGAAAAGATCCAGTCCTTGTGACCCTGTTGATCACCCAGGCATACAGGGTCTAGGGTGGGCAGCTGGTAGACCCCTAGGCTGTTAGGATTTTCACCCCCGGTGGCTAACAGAGTCTTGGAGGGATTCAGCTGGATGGCATGGATACCTGAGGCCATCTCTGCGTGGGTCAGGGCAGGAACCTTGTCCTGCATCAAAGGGATATGTGTGATATGGCCAGACTGCACATCCACCACAAAGAGGGTGTTGCATTTTGTGCCGCACACCACCTGCCTGGCGTTCAGCCACTGCGACGCAAACACCTTGTTGAGGGTCCCCAGGGCTAGCTGACGCTCGGTCAGCAGCTCTGGCAGCCTCTGCACTGCGTAGCTGCGCAGCTGCCCCTCGAAGCCCCGGAGATTGGCGCAGCCCCCTGAGCACACCTCGCGGCCCTTCAGGTAGTACACCACGGAGCGACGCTGAGCCAGCCCCTTCTGCTTCTTGGCCAGCAAGAGCCCCTCTCCTTGCCCAGTTGTCGCTAAGCTCTGCGAGGACGAGCTCCCCGCGCCCGCCTCCACAACGGACGCTTTCCGCTTCCTGCTACCTGTTTGCTCCGGGACCATGATGGGCCTCAGAACAGCGGCGGTGCTGTAGCCTTGGCGGCGAAAGCGCGCGGCGCCCGCGTTGACCGCGGAGGCAGCGGAGATAGTGATGTCTTCTTGTCAGCTGGGAGAGCTAGCTTTCAAGAGCCAGGAGGGCGGAGGCGACTGTGGGTCTCCTAGAAGAGGAGTCCTGGCTGCACAGGCAGCAAAGAAGAGGATGGCGGCAGGTCCGGGGTGGGGTGTGTGGGTGGGGAGGAACGCGCTGCCGGAGGGAGCTGAGTAAAGCAGGAGAGAGAAGAGGAGGTTAGTGGCACCTCAGACTTAGGCGAGGGCAGGAAGTGCGTTCTTCCTAGTGAAAGCAGGAAAGTCTGTGAGGAGTGAAGATGACGCGGGGTCATGAGTGAGTGTAGTAGGCGGTGAAAAGGCAGGAGGGAGAGTGGGTGTGATCTAGTGCTGGGCAGAGCATGCTGAGTTAGGGGTGCGGTGGGGCGAAAGTTGGATAGGGCCACGGGGTTGGGGGAGGAGAACCTCCTGCATCTGTAGAGATTCCTGGAGGATTGTGCTCCAAGATTTCTAGTATCCACAAGCAGTCTTTTAGCACTCTTACCACAGAAGCCACCTATCTTTAAGTTCTCTACTTGAACAAAATCTGAAACTTGAAAGAATCAAACAAGAGCCTAGAAGGATCATTGACCATGATCATTTGTGTATAAAAGAAAAAGAAAATCTGCACTTGATGTAATACTGGGAGACCCTTAAGTGGTAGAGGGAGAGCCCCTCTCATCTAGCAATATATGCATACAAATGATACAACTAGGGACAGATGCATACATACATAGATACATAGATACATAGATGGATGACAGATAGATAGATATAAATGTAGATATCTGATGGGTGCCTTCCAAAATGTACACCTGTAGGTCCTTTCAGATGTTGGGAGTGTAGTGTAAGCTTTGGTCAGAAGTATCCTTTGAAATTTAAGAAGGCTGCAATGATGCAATGTGGTGGTGTAAGGAATAAGGGTGACCAGAAATACAATCTGTTACACTGAATTCTCTTGAACTTCAGAGAATTTAGATGGTTGAAAGGAGAAGAGTTCCCACAAGACAGGTGAGACCCTTCTTCTCCAAGAAGGAAAAGTTTTGTCTGTACTATCAGTCAGAAGCTTTCAGTAAGGGGAGGGATTCTGGAGCCTTGGGGAAAAGTTCTGAGGAATATGGTACATTGGGCTGGTAGGTGTTGGTTGGTACAAAGCTGCTTGCACACTCTCCTCTGCAGAAAACATGTTTGTTGAGTGGGGGGGGACCTATGGGGGAGTGTGAATTAATATTTGGAACCGTTCTAGGAGATTATGGGAGCTGCTTTCTTGCCACCCTTCTCCCCACTTCCTCAGACCTCACCCATTTTGTAAAATTACCACAACTATGCATAATCCAAACACAGAAATTTGGTTTTATTTCCCTTGACTAATCGAGCTGCTGAAGTCCAGTGCTCACCATATGCAATATTTCTTTTCATGTGGAAGCCATATCAATGGAAGAATGGGGCAACTTGATAAGAAGTAACCTGTTGAAAAAGAATACTGATGATTTCATGATTCCAAGTGATATCACAGGAGGATAATTGACCACAAATTCCTTTAACAACATTAGCAGAACTAGGTTTTATTTCTGTTTTTGAATTCTAAAATAGAAAAATTGGTGTTATGACTTTCATGAAATAGTTTCATTAAGACTTCATGACATGATTTTTAAGACTTTATGAAAGTGGTTGGGATAGATAAAAGTGGTTGGGATAGATATATAGTTGCATTCTCTTAATGAATAGAATGA